GATACAAAATAGAGATGGTGTATCTTTCATTTTGTAATTAGATAGCACTTCCCTTGTTTCATTTTATGTTTGATTGTGCACGATATTTAAGAAATAGAGAAATAACGTGTGATAGTGCTTTCTTCTCAGATTCTTTTAAATTCTGTTTGTTATTTTTACATGGATCATCTGCCAAAAGTTAAGAATCAGTAGTCGTAATCGTGTTAGATACTTAGATTTGCCTGTAGTTTGAAAATAAACAGTTCTTCACATTAAGATATTGATAGTAAACCCTTTTTCATGTTGGATGAGTTAGATGTGTACTTGAGTCATGTGTTAAATGACTTTTATTATTAAAAAATAAAATTTTAATATGACATGGCCAAAATCTCATCTTATGTGCTTTTTATTTTTTGGGTCTAGGCAATTATTGGTGATTTTGTTTACCTAAACAAAACAAAAGTGACTTTGATTTGATAGGATATCTCAATAACTTGGGTGAGCATCCAAGAAATTGATTCCACTATTCAATAGTGACGATTGTATAAATCTTCACACAAAGTGACAACTTAAAAAGGAGAAAATCGACGTTTAAAGAAAGTCCACAAGAGTAACGGAGTAAGATAAAATGAAAAATGTAACTCTTAAACATGGAAGCACAACTCCATTTCAAGTGTACCTCTATTTGTAATGCTATATAAAACATGGAAGTAGTTTTTGCCCTATTCGCAGTACAATTTCTCAAAAACAAAAAAAACAAAAAAAAACTTCAATTGAACCGCCTTCCTTGGCTTGTATAGGTGTATGTTTGGGGCAACTTCTATGGGGTACTAGTGATCCTCGTGTTTTCTGTTGTAACAGTACCAAAATCATTTATTTGTTAAATGAGAAATGTAGAATCGGATTTTTTCAGGTGGGAGTGTTGCGAAGTGATCTTTTAAACTTTCGTGATTGTAAGGAAATTCATTTACATGTTTGGATTATGAAGGAGTATGGGGTTAAAGAATCTTGGACAAAGAAGTTTACCATTAAGTCTCTTAATAATCCTGAAGAGAACGATTTTTCGTTTTTACTAACCTTATTCATGTCAAATAAAGGTGAAATTTTGATTGCATTTGGATAAGCTTTCATGATATACAATTCAAATGATAACTTGTTCAAACGTTATTGATATTAATGACCGGTTTGAGATGGAAATCTACGTAGAAGCCTAATTTGTCCTTTTTTCTACAGAAGTGACTAAGGTTGCAACAAAAACAAAGGTTGGAAAAGCTGAGACCAGGCATGTACTAATACACACGAAAAAGTGAATAGAATCATAAATTCGTATTACACTAAATACCAACAAATAAAAAATGAACCCAAAAGTTACGGTGAAGTAATGAGTATTAGTCATTAGGTCATTTCCTATGGACCCACGAAAAACCAGGCTAATCAGAGTTCGTTAAAGAAATTCTACAAAATCAGCATGTACAACTAATATACATGAAAAAGTGGATATAATCACAAATTCTTGTTGCATGACCATAAAATGCCATGAGTAAGGAGAAAGCATTTTCGAAAGCTTTTACAGTTAGACCTATCTATAACATCATCCCTATATAACAACACTTCTCTATAAAAGCCAAATTTTTTTGTAACCAATTTTTATGTTATGTTATAATATATGTTCTCTATAACAATACTTCGCTATAATATCCAAAAATATTCGGAACAAATAAGGTTGTTATAGAGAGGTTTGACTGTATAACCAAGATATATATTCTATTCAATGTAAAGGATATTTTGCTAATAATGAAGTTAAACAATACAACGAATCACTACACAATAGTGACGATTTGTATAAATCTTCACACAAAGTGATAACTTGAAAAGGAGATAATCGACATGTAAAGAAATCTACAAGAGTAACGGAGTAAGATAAAATGGAAATTTAATTTAATTTAATTTCTCTGCACTTTTCGTGTTGTTTTTATTATTTTTGCTTAGACTGTATTTTCTTGTAAAATTGACCAACAAGAGAAATTGCTGAGAAGTTTTTTGTATTGTCTTTCCCTTTAAAGCACAAACGTGAAAGATTGAAACGAAAATTTTGGAGTCTGGTCGATCAATAATGTTTTTTCGTAATGTAATTATTTAACTAGTACTATTTTCAGTTTTCATTTAATTAAAGAAAAAACAAAATACTACTCGCTACAGAAAAATTAAAACAAAACACAATAGTTAGGGAAAAAACCCTATACTGGTAGAAGAGGAACTCTCAAGATCAAAATTATAAGACCAAGTTTTTGACTTTAGCAGTCTTCTCTCCTTTACATAGCAAAAGTGAAACTCTGAAATTTGTTAAACACAAATGGAATCTGAAGCCTCCCATCAACACCCAAAGCACAACAAACTCACAAACCATGACTCAATCTTGACAATCTCAATTCTACCCGCAGAACTCGTTACTGAAATCCTCTCAAGGCTTCCAGTGAAGTCCCTCTTGCAATTCACGTGTGTATCGAAATCTTGGCTTTCATTTATCTCTAGCCCTGAATATATCAAAATCCATCTCAGTTTCTTTTGTAGGTTCTGTCAATGGATTGATTTGTCTTCTCATTCGGGACAATGACTATTTTATATTGAATCCATCAATCAGAAAGTACAAGAAATTGCCTAATCCTAGACCTACGAAGTTGGTTATTTACCGAAGAGTATCTGGTTTTGGATATGATGAGTTCCAATGACGATTATAAGGCGGTAGTGGTTAGTTTTTATAAGTGTGATGACGATGGTGAGGTCAAAATATATAATCTAAAGAGCGATTCTTGGAAAAGTGTTGATAATGGTGGCCGGGTGCTAGCAAATGATCGAGGGATGTTTGTGAATAGGAAACTTCATTGGGCTACTAGTGATGATTATTGTCCTAATCATAACAGCAAGAGCATCATGTCTTTCGATTTGTCCTTTTGCAACGAGAGGGGATTGAGGATGCAATGGAAAAGGCTTAGATCAAATTAATCGAGTAACAAATAACTTGTGAGAGTACTTTCTTCTCAAGTTCTTTTAAATTCCGTTTGTTATTTTAAATATAGAAAATACGTATAAGTAAAGGATATCTTAATAGGAGATCTTGTTAGTCAATTTTCTTTTATGCAGTATTTCATGGAACACTAATTTTGTGTTCAACTTCAAACTAAATGGCTCTAAACTTTTTTTGTATTCTTGAGTAGTGTTTTAAGGGAATGTTATGCCTCTAGATAGAGAAAAATAAAGAGCACCAGGAACATGAAACTTGTGGCAGCTAAATGGGCCAATAACTTTGTTTGGTTGGTTTGGTTGAAAATTTTGGTTTATCATTTTTTGGTAATTTTGTTTTCCTTGCTGCTAATAGCTAACCATTTATTATCCGCCAAATACATAAACAGACACTCAAATTTGACCTCAGCTGGCAAGTAAGCACTCCAACTTTCGGATTACATATATAGACACTTCAACTTGACACAGGTGTATTTCGTGGACACTTGAATATGATCACCTGGCACAATGCGTGTATTGTCTTCACATTTGAGGGCGTGAGATTTTATTCCAAAGCCTTTTCCAGCTGAAAAAGTTAGTGATATTCTATTTTTACCCTTATATTCTACCTCGATTCCCGATGCTCCTCTCCCATCTTTCTCCATTTTTTTATTCTTTCTCTCGACAATGCTATGTAAAGGACATCTTTAAACCATATTAGTCGGAATCTTGTTAGTTTATGCATTACTTTCATGATGTTTGTACCTCTTTTTTTCTGTGATCGAGAATTTTTCTAATTAAAGTGACATTAATCGAAATGAGATTATTTATTTAACGAGAGTCGCTACTTGAAATAATGTATGGTGTCCCAAGTCACCGATTTATTTTAAATCCCAAATCGAGAAAATTTGACTATATTTGAAAGTCTTCGAAAACCAGAAGAGCAGGTAAGGAATTCTGTTAACCTAGGAGAAAGTGTGAGTCACTCCCGGATTCCGTAATTTTAGCACGGTCGCTTAACTATTAATAATTGACATAATTATCTGATTTGTTACATGTTTAAAACCTAACCTTCATTTTTAAATATTAATAAAGGTTACAGTTTCAATACTTCATTTCAATTTAGCCCAACGACCCTACGGCCGGACATGAAAGCTCATTTAAATATAAGTCCCACAAACCACTCAAGAAAAATAAATAGCATCCAAACAAATAACACATCATGCAACAAATTGCTCCTGCGATAACATAAGGTTATTTAAAACACGATTCTAGCCCACGAATAGACTAAACCAATCTATAGAAAATTTCAGAGGATTCAAGCCTAACATATCCAAACGGTTGAGTTCTATATTGTTGAACCCATTAATTAGAGAACTCAACCCAAACCCACTTTGTTACTTAAACAAAATTAATCCAAATCTTACTTCCAATTTTAAGACTTATACTTATCAAATGTAAAACTAGATTGAACAAACTAAAATTCCCTTCATCTTTGTTATCAAATGTCACTGCCCATTGAGAATGCTAAGCACAAATAATTAATTAATTATTCTTAAATATTTAAAAAAATATTAAATTACTTGTTTAAATATTAGAAAAATAATTTATGAATTCTATTTTAAAAGAGTAAAAAAGGCGATCGACTTTTTGTTATTTGTGCTTTTAATAAAAATATATTTTAAAATCAAAAAATATCAATGAATTTTGACTTATTCTATGAAAGAACAAAGAGATTAAAATATCTAAATAATTTTCATAAGAACGTGGCGTTGCACATTAAAATCAAGAATTTAAATAAATCAGTCCCATTAAATTAAAATTATCTAGATTTATTCTTATTTACACTCCAAGCAAGGATCACAAATATTTTAGACTAATTTTTAAATAAAAAGGGATATTAAATTAAAAATTATCTAAATAAGAATAAATCTATTTTTGTGTTGGTTTGATACAGTTTTCGTTTCGATCATTGGGGAATTAACACAAAACCTTTTTAGGACTCTCACAAATTAACACAAAACCTTTTTAGGACTCTCACCAATTAACACAAAACCTCGCCGAAAAGCTTCTCCATAGCAATAATCAAACTTCTTCTTCTTTTCTGGAATTATTAAACTTCAAGGGTTCGAATTTTTGCAACACAAATGGAATCCAATTTTCAATATCCACCAACTTCAAGCTTGACAATCCCTATTCTACCAGCAGAACTCGTTACTGAAATCCTCTCAAGGCTTCCTGTGAAATCCCTCTTGAGATTCAAGTGTGTTTCGGAATTATGGCTTGCTTTAATATGTAGTCCTGAATTTGTCAAAACCCATCTCAGCTTATCCGCTAATAACAAGGACTATAGCCGCCACAAGGTTATGATGTATCATGTTCCTAAGTATAGTTTTAAAGACTGTAGTCTTATGTCTTTATTTAATGAGTCTGTTACCGAGGCATTTGACTTGAATTTTCCTATGAAATTCAATGGATTGGACAGGAACAAGAAGAAGAAGTATCCTGTTTGGATTATGGGTTCTGTCAATGGATTGATTTATCTTGTCAATGAGGACGACATGTTTCTATGGAATCCATCAACTAGAAAATACAAGAAATTGCCTGATCCTAGGCTTACATTAAGATATATTTTCTTGAGAATGTGCGGTTTTGGATATGATGAGTTGCATGATGATTATAAGGTAGTGATTTTCATTAATAACAGTTCACATGATGAAGTCAAAATATATAGTTTGAAGAGTGATTCTTGGAAAAATGTTGATGCTTGTCCAAGTATGGTGCATTACGTTCCAGGTAAGTTTGTGAATGGAAAACTTCATTGGGTTACTTTTACACAAAACATCATTTCAATTGATTTGACTGGCGAGCGATGGGGAGAGATGGAAATCTACGTTGAAAGCCTAGTTTGTCCTTTTTCTAAAACAAAGGTTGGAAAAGCTAAGATCACAATCTTGCTACAAATAACTTGTAAGAGTACTTTTTTCTCAAGTTCTGTTAAATTCTATTTGTTATTCCAAAAGATAGAACAAGCCATGCACATGCAAAGGACATATAATTCTTAATTTGAACTATATTGTTAGGTGGTCTTGTTAGTCATTTTATCCTTTATGCACTATTTTGTGAGGAAAAATAATTTTCTCTTTAGTACTGTTTCAAGGGAATGTTAGGGCTCTTGGCAGAGAAAATAAAAAATACCAATTACATGGAACTTGTGCTTAAGTTGAATTACATTTTAAAAACTTAAGAGGTTGTTACTCTTTATAGTTTTAAGGTTATAATCTGTTTCTAAATTTTCATGTAACGGTACTTAGTGTTTGGAGGGGAGCAACCGGTAAAGTTGTTGTCAGGTGATCAAGAGCTCACAGGTTCGAGCAGTAGAAACAACCTCTTGTACAAAATGCAGGGTAAGACTGTGTACTATAGACCCTTGTAGTCCGGCACTTTTCAGACCCAGGGGCGGACCTAGAGCATTGACTACGGGTTCTCGGGAACCCAGTAACTTTTGCGTAGACCTTGTATTTATATTAAGAAATTCACTAAATATTTGTAAATATCTAAATGTGAACCCAGATATTATTGCATATTAATTTGAAATTACGGTAGGAACCCATAAGCTTCGAATCCTGGATCTGCCTCTGCCCAGACCCCGCTCATAACGGGAGTTTAGTACACCGGTACTTAGTGTTTGGGAAAATAGCATATTCCTTTCCGTTATTGTTTCTTCACATATGATACTGAAAGTGATTTGTTGCTTTAACAATGTTTTTTTTTTACTTTTATTTAGTTGATATCTTTAACTTGGACATGCTCTGCTGTTCCCTTATGTAATGTTTTCTTTTGTTGTATGTAGGTGTAGTGTTGTTGCTGGTAGTCCTGCTCTTGCTCTTGTACTGACAGAGGCGGATTTAGGATTTAAATTTAATGAGTTAAACTTTTAAGATTTTTATACATTAAACTCATTGTACTGTTAAATTTATGAGTTTAAATTTAATATGTGTTGAGGTTTTAGTAAGTTTTTACATATAAATTCATATTCCGTATTGAAAGTTATGAGTTCAGTTGAACCAGTAGCCGAAAAAGCTACCTCTGCCACTCGAGAGCCCATGGAACCTGCTAATTTTGAGAAACTTTACCGACGTCTTTTGTTCACTAGAGTACTTTAAGGATATAGTTAAGGTTGTTAGTATAATTTAGGGATGTTTTTGGTAAGCTTGGGCAAACAGTTTAATTGGCTGAACTAATCTTGTTTGGATTAGACACATTGGGCAAAAACTGTCAAAGCTTAATTGGTTGAACTGATCTTATTTAGCTCCCCCTATTTTTCTGTTTCTTAGATTGCTATTATTATCTTTCTGACTTTGTGGTTGATATTGTTTATTTGTTGTTATTGTTGCTTTTCTCTTCTTGAACCAAGGGTTTACGAAAAATAGTCTTTCTATTTTCCAAGAGTAGGAGTAAGACTTGCGTATATAGCACACACTATCTTTTTCAAACTGCACTCGTGGGACTCCACTCGTTTGCTGCTGTTGTTGGGAAAGTAATGGCAAAGTAGCTGAATGTTCAAAATGTTTAGATTAAGCTAGAGTTAGTGGTTTGATGATAGACATTATAAATCAAGAAAGAAAACCCATATCTTTTTAAGGTGTTACCTGTGCAATGCAGTTTTGTATCTACAATTTAAAACTTGTTTGGAATTGAGATATAATAAATGATGTTATCGTATTGAGGTTGTTTTTGCAAAAATCTTGGAATTTCAAATTTATTTTGCGTGGACGAGTATAAATACAAGACTTTTTAAGTATTCATTTGAGTTTACATCATACTTCATGTCATTCATATATAAGTGTTCGCATTAACCAAAATTTGTTGTTGACTCAACCAATTTCAATACACACTAATTTTGCTGCTGAAGATATATTATTGTCACGATCCGAAATTCTCATCTTCGGATTGTGATGGCGCCTAACATTTCACTTGTTAGGCAAGTCAACGTTAGAATAATATTATCCATTTTTAAAATAATTTATAACTTTATTAATAATAAAGAACAATTGTGGAAGTAAAGTCTGAAATATAGTGAATAATCCATAAAAATAACGGTGTCTAAATACCATCCCAGAATTGGTGTCACAAGTGCACGAGCTTCTAGAATAATTCAAATAAGGGCCTGAATAAAATAAAGCTGTCTGGAAATAAACATACAGCTAAAGTAAAATAGACAGAGACTTCAGAACTACGGACGTTGTGCAGTTATACTTCAAGTCTCCTCTGGGTAACTGATATCCGAGCAAGTCTATGGTACGCCGCTGGGACCAACTCCGAAATCTGCACAAGAAGTGCAGAGTGTTGTATCAGTACAACCGACCCCATGTACTAGTAAGTGCTGAGCCTAACCTTGACGAAGTAGTGACGAGGCTAAGACGGGTCACTTACATTAACCTGTACGCAATATTAGTAACAACAACAAATAATAGAAATAAATCGAGTAACTCATTTATGATAATTAAAGTCAACTCAGCAGTCATAACCAATTATCATTTCCATCAATTTTCTGTTGTAGCGTGCAACCCGCTCTCACAATATATTCATATTCCATTCTGTTGCGGCGTGCAACCCGCTCTCACAATATATTCATATTCCATTCTGTTGCGGCGTGCAACCCGCTCCTCCAATATATTTATTTTAATTAAGTTTGTTGCGGCATGCAACCCGATCCCCCAATATGTGTATGTGTGTGTGTGTGTGTGTGTGTGTATCGACTTTTAAATAAGTTTGTTGCGGCGTGCAACCCGATCCTCTAATATGGACTTTTAATAAGTCTGTTGCGGCGTGCAACCCGATCCTCTAATATGGACTTTTAATAAGTCTGTTGCGGCGTGCAACATGATCCTCCAATATATCCATTTCAATCAATTCTATTGCGGCGTGCAACCCGCTCCTCCAATATATTCATTTACCAATTCTTGTAGAAGAAATTTCCCCAATAAATGTAACAATTAATATAAAATTATAAGACAACAAGCATACAATAATTATGATTTAATTATGAAACAAACAATGACAAATAGCAAATTATTATAAAAGTCATGGAGAAAATAGGCAGTTTAATATTTAATATGCTAAATATCAAATAACAATTAAGACACATAATTCAAATAGCATGTAATAATTAATGCAGGAATTCAAGAATTAATATTTGACAAACAATAGGAGAGAAATAATTATTATAATAATTAATTCATGATTTAAAATAATTTATGATTTTTCAAGTAATTATACAAACAATTAATTTGATGACGTATAGACACTCGTCACCTCGCCTATACGTCGTTCACATGCATTTCACATAACAAATAGTTTAAGGGTTCTATTCCCTCAAGTCAAGGTTAACCACGATACTTACGTCACTTCGAAAACAAATTTTAAGTTTTCAATATACCCTTGCCTCGCGAATTACTGTCCGAAATCCTCAAATCTAGTCATAAACAATTCAATATATTTAATATAAATTGTAGGAATTAATTCCATATGAATTTACTAATTTTCCGGATTAAAATCCGAAATTCATTTTAAAAATCGACAGTGGAACCCACGTTTCAAATCTCGGAAAAACTTACAAAATTCGAACACCCATTCCGAGATGAGTCCAACCATACAAAAATTATTCAATTCCGATGTCAAATGGACCTTCAAATCTAAATTTTTCGTTGTTGGAAGATTTTATAAAAATTTCAATTTCTTCCATCTAAATCCGAAATAAATGATGAATATAGACATGGATTTATGAAATATAATCACTTTGGGTTATAGAACACTTACCCAATTCAAAGTCGTGAAAAATCGCTTTGGAATCGCCAAAATCCGAGATTTAAAACTCAAAAATGAGTAAAAATAGCTAAAATATTTTTTTTATGTGTTCTGTCCAGCATTTCCGCTTCTGCAGAAATTTGACCGTGGGTGCGGTTCCGCTTCTGCGAAAAATTGACCGCGGGTGCGGTTCCGCTTCTGCGAAAAATGGACCGCGGGTGCGATTACACCAGAAGGCCAAAATTTCAGATTTTTCTTTAAGTCCAAATTTTGATCTGTTAACCATCCGAAAATCACCCGAGCCCCCGGGATCTCAACCAATTACACCAACAAGTCTCATAACATAATACGGACTTACACGGGGTCTAATATCACGTCAAGCAACGCTGAAATTATAATTCACACCTCGATTCGAACTTTGAGTTATAAACTTTTCAATTTGCAAATCTCGTGCCAATGGGTTCAATATTAAAAATTTTAAAATTGAACCCATATGATTTAAATCCTGAATCCGCCTCTGGTTGTCCCCTATACCTCATTATAGAAGTTTATGACTCAACAATATTACTTAAAAAAGTGCAACCCCGCAAGCTACAATTACATATTTATATATTCAATATTTTATTATACAACAATAATAGATCTTACGCAGTATAATCTCACAAGTGAGGTCTAAGAAAATAGTGCATACGCAGACCTTACATTTAATTTGCGAAGATGGAGAGGTTGTGTCCGAAGATCCTCGGCTCAAGGAAAACGAAAAAAAAGGGAAGAAATCAACAAGCAGTAACATATCAACAAGATAATAAGCTAACCGAAGCGAAAGAAACAATACGTAATAATAGAACTCTAAGAATACGAGAGTACAAGACTAATACTACTACCTACTGGTACAGCACAGAAATACGCCTCGACTACCCACTAACTTTCTACCCTAATTCGCGACCTCCATACCCTCATATCAAGGGTCATGTCTTTAGTAAGCTTAAGCCACACCATATTCAATATTTTATTATAACTACAAAAATGGTCAACAGTTGAACTCTGCGGGTAGTCTAAATTTTACCTTTAGCTGCTACTAAGGGTGTCAAATGGGCGGGCTAGGCGATTTTAGGCGGGTCTAAACGGGTTACTTGGGTTAAGATGGGTTGGGTCAAAATGGGCTAAAATTTGGGTCATAATCCAAACCGCCCAACCCTTATCAATCTTTAGTTAATATATGTTATTTTCTTATGAATTGTATAATTACTAAATAAGACTTTTTTTCTTTTTTTACGATCATATATAACATATCAAACAAAAATATAAATTTATTTCTAAAATATTTTGGCAAAGTTACTCATGGATAAATTTGGGCTAAAAATCAACCCAACTTTAAATGGGTTGAGATAGGTGGGTCAAGATAGGTTGAGTTCAATAAACGGAAAAGGGCCAACAATACCCCTAACATATTGAAAATGGTTCAAAAATACCCCCGTTAACCTTTTGGTCCACAAATGCCCATAACATTTATTTTGGGACTCAAACTTACCCCTATATCTAACAGAAGGGCCAACAATACCCCTAACGTCTTGAAAATGGCTCAAAAATACCCTCTGTTAACCTTTTGGTCCGCAAATGCCCCTAACGTTTGTTTTTGGGTTCAAACTTACCTATATATCTAACAGAATTAATCTGGTCAATTTTTTGACTTTAACTTCGCCATGTGGTATTTTCTTAACTCGTCACGTATATTATTTGTATTAAATAAACCCACATGTATATTTTAAAATACCCAACGACCCTGACTCGCTCCTATATATTTGGACAGTCGACTAAAAATAATTACATTCGCTAGTTAAATATATAAAAAATATACGTTGATTATATATAAAAATATTTATATTATACATTAATATTTTAATATATATTTTACATGATATTATTTTTAGGAAAAATTATACGGTGTAGTTTTCATAAGCTTTTATGATATATAATTCAAATGATATACAATTCAAATGATGACTTGTTCGGTAAGACTGCGTACTATAGACCCTTGTACAAAATGCAGGGTAAGATTGCGTACTATAGACCCTTGTAGTCCGGCACTTCCCAGACCTTGCTCATAACGGGAGTTTAGTACACCGGTACT